ACAAAAAAAGAAAATTACAGACCAATATCTCTCATGAATATAGATGCAAAAATTCTCAACAAAATTCTAGCCAATAGAATTCAGCATCATATCAAAAAACTAATACACCACAACCAAGTAGGATTCTTACCAGGTATGCAAGGATGGTTCAACATTAGAAAATCAATCAATGTAATCCACCACACAAATACAAGGAAAGAAAAGAATCACATGATCATCTCAACTGATGTAGAAAAGGCATTCAACAATGTCCAACACCCATTCCTGATAAAGACTTTCAATAAAATATGTATAGAAGGGAAATTCCTCAACATAATAAAGGGCATCTATACAAAACCAACGGCCAACATCATTCTTAAAGGAAAGAGCCTGAAAACATTCCCCTTGAGAACAGGAGTGAAACAAGGATGTCCTTTATCACCACTCCTATTTAACATTGTGCTGGAAGTTCTAGCTAGAGCAATAATACAACAAAAAGAAATAAACAGCATCCAAACTGGTAATGAAGAAGTTAAACTGTCCCTATTTGTGGATGATATACTATACATAGAAATCCACCAGAAAACTACTGGGACTAATAGAAAGATTCAGCAGTGTAGCAGGATACAAGATAAACATACAAAAATCAGTTGGATTCCTATACATCAATAAAGAGAATGACGAAAAGGAAATCAGGAAAACAATACCATTTATTATAGCCCCTAAAAAAATAAAATACTTAGGAATAAATCTAATCAGGGATGTTAAAGACCTATACCAAGAAAACTACAAAACACTACTACTAGAAACCAAAAGAAACCTACATAAATAGAAAAACATCCCATTCTCATGGATAGGTAGACTTAATATTGTGAAAATGACAATTCTACCCAAAACAATTTACAAATACAATGCAATCCCGATCCAAATACCAACAACATTCTTTAAAGAGTTGGCAAAACTAATCATTAACCTTATATGGAAAGGGAAGAGGCCCCGGATAAGTAAAGCACTATTGAAGAAGAAGAAAAAAGTAGGTCTTGCACTACCTGACCACAGAACCTACTATACAGCTACAGTAGTCAAAACAGTCTGGTACTGGTACAAAGGACAGATACATTAACCAATGGAACAGAATTGAGAACCTAGATGTAAATCCATTCACCTGATCTTCTATGAATGCCAAAAGACCATCAAATGGGGAATAGACAGTCTTTTTAACAAATGAGGACGGCAAAACTGGATGTCCATCTGCAAAAAAATGAAACAGGACCTATACCTCACACCACACACAAAAACTAACTCAAAATGGATCAAAGACCTAAATATAAAACCCAAAACTATAAAGATCATAGAAGAAAAAGTAAGATCAACACTAGAGCTCTAATACACAGCATTAACAGGGTAAAAAACATAACTAACAACACACAAATTCCAGAAGACCAGTTAGATAATTGGGATCTTCTAAAAATTAACCACTTACGTTCATCAAAAGACTGCACCAAAAGAGTGAAAAGAGAACCTACAGACTGGGAAAAAACTTTTGGCCATTACAAATCCAACAAAGTTCTAATCTCTAAAATCTACAGGAAAATCCAACACCTCTACAACAAGAAGACAAAAAATCCAATTAAAAAATGGGCAAAGGAAATGAACAGACACTTCACCAAAGAAGACACTCAAGCAGCTAACAGACACATGAGGAAATGCTTGTGATCACTAGCCATTAGAGAAATGCAAATTAAAATCACAATGAGATACCATCTCACCCTGGCATTACTGGCACGATCAAAAAAAAAAAAAAAACTGAAATAACAAATATTAGAGAGGTTGCAGGGAGATCAGAACTCTTCTGCACTGTTGGTAGGTATGCAAACAGTACAACCACTTTGGAAAATGATATGACGCTTCCTTAAAAAGCTAGAAATAGAAGTACCATGTGATCCAGCAATCCCACTCCTAGAAATATATCCTAGAAAAATAAGAGCTGTCACACGAATAAACATATGCACACTCATGTTCATTGCAGCATTGTTCACAATAGAAAAAAAGATAGAAACTACCTAGATGCCCAACAACAGAGGAATGGATAAACAACTACAGTACATACACACAATGGAGTACTACATAATGATAAAGACCAATAATGAATCTGCAAAGCATCTCACACTATGGGTGAATCTGGAGGGCATTATGCTGAGTGAAATTAGTCAATCACAAAAGGACAAATATTGTCTGAGATCACTACTATAAAAACTCATGAAAGGGTTTACACACAAAAAGAAACAATCCTTGACAGTTACAAGGGGTGGGGTGGAGATGGAAAAACACTAAATAGACAATAGATAAGTGGTAACTTTGGTGAAGGGTAAGACAGTACACAATACTGGGGAAGCCAACACATCTTGTACAAGGCAAGGTCATGAAAGCTCCATAGACACATCCAAACTCCCTGAGGGACCAAATTACTGGGATGGGGGCTATGGGGACCATGGTCTCGAGGAATATCTAGCTTAATTAGCATGACATAGTTTATAAAGAAAATGTTCTACATTCTACTTTGGTGAGTAGCGTCTGGGGTCTTAAAAGCCTGTGAGTCACCATCTAATATACTCCACAGTTCTCAGCCCTTTGGGAGTAAGGGACAATGAAGAAAACTAAAGACACAAGGGAAAGATTAGTCCAAAGGACTAAGGGACCACAACTACCATGGTCTCCATCAGTCTGAGTCCAGTACACCTAGATGGTGCCCGGCTATCACTACTGACTGCTCTGACAGGGATCACAATACAGAGTCCCGGACAGACTGGAGAAAAATGTAGAACAAAATTCTAACCCACAAAAAAAGAACAGACCTACTGGCCCGATAGAGACTGGAGAAACCCCAAGAGTATGATCCCCTGACACCTTTTTAGCTCAGTAATGAAGTCATTCCTGAGGTTCACCCTTCAGTCAAAGATTAGATAGGCCCATAAAATAAAACAAGGCTAAAGGGACACACCAGCCCAGGGTCAAGGACTAGAAGGCAGGAGGGGACATGAAAGCTGTTAATAGGGAACTCAAGGTCAACAAGGGAGAGTGCCGACTTTTCTTGGAGTTGTTAACCAATGTCATAAAACAGTATGTGTTACTAACTTTTTAATGAGAAGCTAGTTTGTTCTGTAAACCCTTACCTAAAGTACAATTAAAAAAAAAAAAAAAAACCAAAAGACCATCAATCCTTGATCATATGCTGCCTCCTGAAATGGTTGAATGTTGACCAATTCTTTTTGGTACATTGACTCTGTGTATTCCCTCCATCGTCTTTTGATGCTTCCTGCAACTTTCAATATTTTGCCCATACCCATTGCCGTCTCCGACTCACAGCAACCCTATAGGACAGAGTAGAACTTCCCCATAGGGTTTTCAAAGATCAGCTGTTGGATTTGAACTGCAGACCTTTTGGTTAGCAACAGAACTCTTAACCCCTGCGCCACCATAGAATCCTTCAATATTGCAACTCGATGCTTGAATTTTTTCTTCATTTCTTTCAGCTTGAGAAATGCTGAGTATGTTTTTCCCTTTTGGTTTTCTAACTCCAGGTCTTTGCACATTTCATTATACCACTTTACTTTGTCTTCTCAAGAGATCCTTTGAAGCCACCATCTTCTCTTTAGCTGGTTTACTTCATCATTTCTTCCATTTGCTTCAGCTACTCTACGTTCAAGAGCAAGTTTTAGAGTCTCTTATGACATCCATTTTGGTCTTTTCTTTCTTTCCTGTCTTTTTAATGACTTGTTTTTCTTCATGTATGGTGTCGTTGATGTCATCCTACAACTTGTCTTGTCTTCGGTCATTAATGTTCAATACATCAATCTATTCTTGAGATGGTCTCTAAATTCAGGTAGGATATACTCAAGGTCACACTCTGGCTCTCATGGACTTGTTTTAATTTGCTTCAGCTTCGACTTGAACTTGCATATGTGCAATTGCTTGTTTCACAGCTGGCCGCTGGCCTTGTTCTGACTAATGATAATGAGATTCTCCATCGTCTCTTTCCATAGATGTAGTTGATTTGATTCCTGTGTATTCCATCTGCTGAGGTCCATGTGTATAGTAGCTCTTTATGTTGTTGAAAAAAGGTATTTGCAATGAATAAGTCATTGGTTTCGCAAAATTATCGTTTCTATCACCAGGTCCATATTTTCCAAGTACCAACCCTTCTTTGTTTCTGACTTTCACATTCCGATCACCTGTAAATATCAATGTATCTTGATTGAATGTTTGATCAATTTCAGACTGCAAAAGTTGAATAATATTCATGCTAACTGGTCTTCCTTGTAGACTTCAAGTTAATATGTTAAAAAGTCTTTGGGGAGGGGGACTCAAAGTTATATTTGGAATAATATCTGGAGTATTATGTGTTTGATTGTAAAATCCAGGTAACTCTTGCAAGATGAAGGATTCATTGAACTGTAACCTGAGTATCCAGTCTTTAGTGAAAAGCAATTTCCTATTTAAAGAGTGTCTCTGCCCTGATGACCTTTATTGTATTCCTAACAAATTGCTTGGAAAACAGTGCATCATTAAATCAGGTAATACTTTTTTGTATGGAATATTTACATTCATGGAAAAGAACAGCACAATTACAAAAATTAACCACACCTATGGAATCAACTCAATGGCAATAGATGTAATTGGATTGATTTTTTATGTGACTTGGGGTTTTGTGAGCTGTAACCTCAGTAAATGCATGACATATTTCTGTAATTGCTAAGCTCAATTTCAAGTTTCATTCAATTTCATTAGTATTACAGACTCACTCATTCAACAGATATGTTTGTGGGGCTTACTCTGGCTTTGTACCAGATCCAGATGACAGAAGACAAATAAGGTCCATCTTTGTTGTTAAGGAGCTCAGAGCCTCCCGGGAGAAAACAAAATATAAGTACTTACCTAGAGTTCTACTTGCCTTTGCATAGGGGCATTTAATCATTTAACATGGATTTACTTACTACTTACCCAAGGTGCCAGGGTAACACTAGAGTAGTGGTCATCCCACTAGTCTGTATGTACACTTGAGGGTACACAAAGACTTCCCAAGGGGTATGTGGGATCAAATAGTTCAAAAGGGACCAGTTTCCTGATTCTCAATGTCCATATATACTCTCTCTGAAAAGTGATCAGCTTGGGAATGCATCTGTTGCCATACAGTTCTCACATCTTCTTTAATAATTAACCTTCTCTCACGTTACTAGAGAAAAGATTAAGTCTCAGCTATCTTGAAGGGCTTCGTGGTGGTCCAACCCTTCCAATTATCCATGGTGGGCTCATTGAACAATTTTCTTTTTCATAACTTGCCTTTTCTAGAATTTCATATAAATGAAATTACAGTATTGCTGCCCCTTTTGAGTCTGACTCTGAACTCTTTTATTTAACTTAATGTATTTGAGGTTCATCAATGTTTCCGGTATGCATATGCTTATTTTCTTGATAAGTAGTATTCCATTGTATGGGTATACCACAGACTGGCTACCCATTTGCTACTGAAAGTCATTTGAGTTGTTTCTATTTTTACTGAAGATTATAGATAAAGCTACTGTACACAATCACTACAGAATTTGTGTGAACATTTCCTTTTGCTGTATGAAATTGCTGAGTCATATAGTAAGTGTATGTTTAACTTTATAAAAAGCTTCCAAACTATGTTTCAAAGTTGGTGTAACATTTTGCCTTTCCATCATCATTGTATAAATATAACAGTTGCTCCATATTCTCACCAGTACTTAATTTTTTCCATTCTAAGACCACATTGTCTTAATTTGCACTTACCTAATGATTAGTAGGAGCCCTGGTGGCACAGTGGTTAAGAGCTCAGCTGCTAACCAAAAGGTCAACAGTTTGAATCCACCAGCCACTCCTTGGAAACCCTATGGGGCAGTTCTACTCTGTCCTATAGGGTCACTATGAGTTGGAATTGATTCAGTGCCAGTGGGTTAATGATTAATAATGTTGAACATCTTTTCATGTACTCATTTGCCTTGCAGATATATTTTCTCTGGTAAAGTATCTCTTTAAAACTTTTGCTAAGTTTTAAAATAGAGTTTTGGTTTTCTTATTGAAATTTTGAGAGTTTCTAGAAATTGAATAGAGTTTTAATCAAAATATATGTTTTCTAAATAGTATTCCCCAGTCTGTATTTCATTACATTATGAATATCTTTAAAAAAGTAAGTTTTTAATTTTGATAAAGTCCAGTTTATCATCTTTTTTCTTTTATGAATTATATACCTTTGATGTTCCATCTAAGAAATCTGTATAACACACATTTACAAAGATTTTCTCGTATGTTCTAGGAATTACATAGTTTAGGTTTTGCATTAGGGCAATGATTTATTTTAAGTTGAATTTTTGTATATGGTACAAGATACAGGCCAGGTTCCCTTTTTTTCCCCCAATATGGATATCCAATTGCTCCAGCACCATTTGCTAAAAAGACTATCAGTTTCACTTTTTTTGAAAATCAATTGGCAATATATTTGTGGATCCATTTCTAGACTCTGTTTGTGTTCCATTAATCTATGTATCTTTCCTTCTCCCACTACATAGTCTTAGTGCTCCTTTATCAGAAGGAAGTCTTCAAATGAAGCACCATGACGCGTCTAACTTTGTTCTTATTTAAAATCGTTTTGACTGTTCTAGTTTTCCTTTTCACATCAGTTTGAATCAGCTTGTCAATTTCTACCAAAACTCTGCTGCCTTTTTTGTTTGGCTTACACTGAAACTATAGATCAGTTTAGAGAGTCTTGATACCCTTACTATGGTGACTCTGGATCAATCTATTTAGGGATTCTTTGATCTCCTTCATCAACACTTTTTGTTTTTAGTTCTTGCACACTTTTTGTTAGATTTAGACATATATACTTCACTTTTTTGGTACTGTTGTAAATAAGAATTTATTTTACACTTTTTTATATTTGCTTCTAATATTTCCTCATAGTCTCCTCTCTCCATCTCTCTTTCTGTCTCTCTCTCTGTCACTCTTATCTTCATTATTTCTTTTCCTTTGTTTGACTAGACCTTATGTTGCTCTTCTTCTTCTAAACTCTTAAGATAAAAGCTTAGGTCATTAATTTGAAACTTTTCTTCTTTCCTCATATACACATTTAATATTATAAATTTCCCTCTAAGTATTGTTTTAGCTCCATCCACACATTTGATACATTGTATTTTCATTTTTATTCAATTCAAAATATTTTATTGTTTCCCCTTTGACTCATAATTTGTTTGGAGGCTTTTGTTTAATTTTAAAATATTTGGGTATTTCCCAAATATCTTCATTATTGATTTCTAGTTTAATTACATTATCATAGGAAACATACTTGTGTAAACTCAATTCTTTAAAAATTATGAATATTAAAATGATCAGTTGCCAAATATCAAATGTACAATATTAAGTGCTAGAAAATATGTACACATACACACACACAAACACATGCACACACACACAGAGTGCTTGAATTCAGAGAGCAAGAAACAACGGTTGAAGGCTTCTTGGAAGAAATGACAGACTTAGGCCTTTTAGGGTGAGTTGGCATTCATTAGGGAGACAAGGAAGGGCACATTTGGGAAGCTACAAATCCTTTGTTAGGCTGGAGTGTAGAATGCTTATAAAGGAGTATTAGGAGACGATGCTGGAAAGAAACCAGATGTTTATAAAAAGGAGAGGAGCTAAACTTGCATATCTTGCTAAAGAGATTAGACTTTAAACTGTTGTTATGAGAATCTATTAGTGGATTTTAAATGGAGGGATGAAGAATCAGCTTTTCAAAAGATATCACTGACAGTAGTGTAGAGAATGGAATGGAGAATGGAGGAGAGATAAAGATGCAGACCAGGCATATCAGTTAAAAAGCCATCAAAATAATTTGGGAGACAGATGATACATGCCTGACCTACAACACTGGTGCTGAGGGTTGTAAGAAGTAGACGCATTTAAGACATATTTATAAATTATAGTCAGTAGGAATTGCTAACCAGTTGGATATGAGGAGTATGAAATATGTTAAGCGTGATACTCAAGTGGCTGGTTTGGAGCAAAGGCACTGCTGTATACTGAGACAGGAAATAAAGAAGAAAAGACAGGACTGGGGACAATAATAAAGAGTTATATTTTTGAATCATTGCATCTGAGACACCCTTTGGAACTTAACACCTATGTTTATTACCTTTTAGTGATATATTGTCCTCATCTTTTACTTTTATTTTTTATTACATTTTGATGATTGTAGCAATCATTTTTACCTTATTTATAAGATAATTCATTGTTTTTCTTGTGTAAAACTTTTCTGAATTTCCGTTTTCTCCTGGAAAATGTACCTAAAGTTTTTTCAACATTTTTTCATTATTTCCCCTTAAGGAGCCTTTTAAGAAAGCTTTTTCCTAATTCCTCTACCCCCCACGAAATTTTAATATCACCGACATACTATAAATCTGTGTAGGTACTATCTATATCTGTATCTGTCTATCTATCTATGTCTTATATATATTAAAAAATAGATATTTTTTGCCCCCATCCAGTACCAATTTTTACCCCCGTGGTTGTTATATCACCCCCATTGAGAGTATATGCTCTTCTAGGTAGCTCCAATAATCCCATAATTTTATAAACTTTGTAGAAAGGAGGTAAGAAAAACAATTTCATTATAGGACTCCGAGTAAGCTTTCAGAAGTACACCTACTCCTCACTTATCAACTTTCTTGTTATCTGACATTTCACACGTTTGACAATAGTGAAAAAAAATACTATTTGACTATTTTGCACATTAACAACATATGTCTGGCAGTAACAGATGCCAAGCTGCTAGGTGAGAGTAACGCTGACTGCGATGGTTAAGGTTACGTGTGAACTTGACTGGGCCATGATTCTCAGTAGTGTGACAGTTATGTAAGGATGTGATTTGGCATTTATGTAATGATATAATCATTCTCCATTTTGTGATCTGGTGTCTGATTAACTTTGTTGTCCTGTGCTGTGTCATTGTAAAATATGATTTTGTACTGTATTTCATGTATATTTTTGTACAATAAACCAACATTTAATACATGGAGTTTTCACTGAACCTTGAAATGTACAATATTAAGCTTAAGTCAAGAGTCAGTCAGGAATTATAAGATTAAGACAATGTCATTCATTTCAGATCATCTCTTGTGCATTGAGTATGGTAGCCTGAAGTAAACTCTCGCATAACATCCTGGTCTTTGGCGCCTAACCATATCAATAAGTGAAGAGTCAGTGTACTCTGTCGACTTGTAAAATTTCTTCTCTACGTAAAAGGCAATACAAGCAGAATTCTACAATGAAATCTTCCTTGACCCTACCATTCTTCCTTCAGCCAAAGTCACTTTTTCCTCTGGAGTATCATACTGGTTGTATTGAGGGAGCATTTTTTACGTACTAGTTTTGTTTTTTTTTCAATGTTTCATACTTATGCAAGAAAAAGGTAGTATAAACAATTCCATAATATAAAAATATTTACTTACATACTAACTTGGTATCATCATAAGCACTGTTCAGAGTTAGAAACATTGTAGCACATGTGCTTTGAAACCCAGACTGCTATAGCATCTTGCACATTTCTCAATTAACAGCCCACACTGAATTCTTATAGTTATATAAATCTAGGTTAGGAATGTTAGTTGGTTTGTTTGTTTTTAAGTTTCACATGACAGAAAAAGAAATCGATTTTTTTAAAAAAAGGTAAAGGAACATACCTCATCTAGCTGGCATTTACAAATATGGGTCTCCAGTTGAGAAGAAGTCTAAAATAGGGATACATATTTGGAGTCAAATGTCTATAGAAGGTAAAGAAAAACATGAAGGTGGATCAAATTGCCAGGAAACAATATAAAGCTGTAAATAATCATAATGCCTTATATCTCAATTTTTTAAATATCAATATCATTTACCCCAGCTCTCTTAAAATATTTTTCAATGGTTTTTGAAAGGGAAAAGATATTGGAATATTTATAAAAGATATGCCTATATAATTTTTAAAAACATATTAAAAGTTTACAAGTAAATGAACTTATTTACTTTTTAGTCATTATACTTTATAGATGAATCAGTGCTGTCCCCAGATCTGGCTTCACAATCAAATATCACACAATGGCTCCATCCAAAAGATACGTCATTAATGGTTGAAAAAACTAATGACTGTGTCATGGCTGCACATGTCTGCCAGAAATCCGAACACTGTATTCTGTTGTATGAGAATTTTAAGGAAACCTGTGGGAAAGAAACAGAACGATGCAAGACCCTTGATGGAGTCCACCTGTGTACAGCATTAAGAGAGCGTCTGAAAGAAACAGTTTTATGGAATTGCCAATGCAACGACTCCTCAGAAGTAGACTGCATTCAAATTAGGAAAAGTTTATTTGAAGACATTTGTATACAGGATGCCCAAGTACATCAAGTCCCAGACTTCAAGGAAGACTATGAATATGGATTCAACCAGGACATTGTGTCAGGTTGGTATTCAAAGGAACATTAGGAACATTATAATCACAAATACGAGTTAACTAAAGAACATTCTGTTTCTGATTTTAGCATTGTCACTTCTGCCTCTATTTCCCCTGGAAAATTCAAATAATAAACTAGTACCATAACTACATCCCAAAGGATTTGTGGAGAAAGAGGTGAAGTGTCTTAAAGTTTGGGCATAATGTTAATTTTATTCATTTATTAATTAATTCAGAAAAAATCAATGAGATATTTACAATGTGCTAGATTTTATGCAATAGAATAAAAAAAATCCACAATGTCCTTTATTCATGGAGCTATCTTTTATGGGATGTAAAAAAATCTGTGATTTGATCATCATATATATGCGCAGCAGGTAAGTGGGCAAGGAGTAGGACAGATAACCTAGGTGGGAGCAAACTGAATCATGAAGGGACTTTCATGACATAACAAAAATTAATATCTTAACCTACTTTCTTAGTCGGCTAGTGCTGCTATAACAGAAATACCACAAGTGGAGGGCTTTAACAAAGAGAAATTTATTCTCTCACAGTCTAGTAGGCTACAAGTCCAAATTCAGGTTCCAGGGGAAGGCCTTCTCTCTTTGTCAGCTCTGGAGGAAGGTCCTTGTCATCAGTCTTCCCTTGGTCTGTGAGCATCTCAGTGCAGGAACCTCAGGTCCAAAGGACGCGCTTTGCTCCTGGTGTTGCTTTCTTGGTGGTATGAGGTCCCCATGTGTCTTGCTCACTTCTCTCTTTTATACCTCAAAAGAGATCGGCTTAAGACACTATCTAATCTTGTATACCTCATCAGTATAACTGCCGATAATCCATCTTATTACATCATAATGATAGAGTTTACAACACGTAAAGAAATCACATCAGATTACAAAATGGTACACAATCATACAATACTGGGAATCATGACCCAGCCAAACTGATAGATATTTTTTGGGGACACAGTACAATCCATGACACCTACTTTCTTAATTTTAATCTTATTTAAATTTCTTAAACTATAGCCATTGGCAAAAATTAAGTTTTAATTTTAAAACAAAAATTTGATCATACTATCCCCCGATCACTTTATACATATCTCTAGTAGCGCTCCTCATATTTCATTTTGTTTTGTGTTTATATGTCTATATTTCCTTATCAGGTGGAGGGACTCTCAATGATGGTAGCTGCAGATTTACATCTACAGTCTGGTGCCTGGTATATACAGGGACTCAACCAACGTTACTTAAATGGAATGATCTATCTAGATGTAAGCAACCACTGAGGTCACTTCCATCAATGAGATTTTCCAATTCTATAGTTGTAATTGTCAAGAACTCTTGGAAGCTAAGCTAATCAGATGTAGAGGTAGTCTTTAAATTGCATTTCAAACTAATTAAGGCCTAAACGGAAAAGTTTTTTTTTTTTTTTCCCAGCTAATATTCCTTTTGGCCTTTCTCCTCAGATAGTCTTTGTTTATTTCAGTGCACGTGGCCTGGACATCAGCATTTTTAAAAGTCTTCCAGTAACTAAATCCTCTTAGCAGGGCTGTTTAACTTGTGTGAATGATATCTCAGGGGTTTCTTTTTCTTCACTTGAACATCACTGATTTTGAATGTCAAAGGTTAAATAAGTGTTAAATGAGTTTGTGTGTATTTTTGTGTGATTACTTTTTAAGTAAATTTATTCCACGTTCTCCTGTTAAATTTAGAAAATTGTTCAATAATGAAATTGTTTCTTTATTTTCCTTCTAGATAATATAAAGGAGGATAATAAATTCAAATGGAATCTAACTACTCTTTCTCATCATGGTAATGTTTATCAACTGTAATTTTGATCTGCATTGTAAATACTAGATAATATAACTTAGAGTGTAGTTACCAGGCTTCTTAAAGATTAGCTACTACAAAATAAACTGTGTGGTTTTTTAATAATTCTAAGGTAACAAAATGCAACAAAATCATAACATTTCCTTTAGCAATGATGTATCAAAGGCAGCTGTTTTGCCCATCCATCATTGATTTATGGGTATGCTGAGAAATACTTTACAATTAAAACTAAAGATTATGTTTTTGGTTAAAATCTCAGAAATTAAATATGTTTGTATCAATTGGTTTTGTGTATGTGTGTTTGTTGTGCGGCTGGGGTGTTCACATGTACCTGCGTTTTTCAGAACATGAATATCTTCATATGCCAGAAAAACTATATGCAGCCTTTAGTCAAGATTCTCCCCCAAATAGAACACGCAACAGAATAAGTGTCATTTTGACTTGAGCCAAAATAAGCTACATAGTTCGAATGTAATTTTTGAAGATTTATTGTTTACATTTGAGAAAACTGGGCTCAGAACTTTTTTCCCTCAGTGTAGTTTTGGCCCTACACACCTCTCATCACTTCTGGATCCCAATAAGTATCAGGCATAGATGAAAGATAATTCAAATAGCCCACTGCTCAGATCCCCGTAAATTCATAATTATTCTTTAAAAAGAAAAGTCATATTTGCCAAAAATAGCACGTTGTTGCATCAGTTGCGTTTTGTTCACAGTCCTCTCACAGTATTTTGGAGATGCTGTGTGTATAGCTTTATGTTTACTTTTCCACGACCTGGGCATATCATTCCTTTCAGGTTTCAAAGGGATCCGGTCCTGTTTGGAAGTGGCAGAGGCATGTGTAGGGGATGTGGTCTGTAATGCACAGTTGGCCCCTTACCTTAAAGCTTGTTCAGCAAATGGAAATCTGTGTGATGTGAAACGCTGCCAAGCAGCCATAAGGTTCTTCTATCAAAATATGCCTTTTAACATTGCCCAGATGTTGGCTTTTTGTGACTGTGCTCAATCTGATATACCTTGTCAGCAGTCCAAAGAAGCTCTTCACAGCAAGCCATGTGCAGTGAGCGGAGTTCCACCCCCCACTTGCCTCAATGTAATTCACAGCTGCCGAAATGATGGATTATGCAGGTGAGTAAAAACACGCATACCTTACTTTCTTGTTTTGCCACCTTATTTGTTACAGTCCAGCCCAAACACTTGATCTCATTACATTTGCGAGAGTGCCCACTGTCATCCAACATGTTCCAAATAAAGCCAGAAAATTCTTATTTTTGAATTCGTGGTACATATGTCATATCCATTTTGCAATTCAAATGCAGAACAGGTTTTTAAAACAAAGAAATTCTGTATGTCAAGATTTCGAAGCCATCAAGCAGCATTATTAAAATTATGTATTCAGTTCAGACTAAAGAATTGGTTAATATATCTGTCTTGTATGTCAGTTTGTTTATTTGTTTTTCTGTGTGATTATATAAAGCTATTAAACTTTATAGAAGCTTAGCAAGGTGGCTCTTCAAAATAAATCTTTTCTGTAATAGGCTGGAGATGAGGCAAGAGAAGGTGGCGTCACTGCAATTCAGTTTGAGCATCCCCAGCACATACGTATGCCACGATGTCGGAAACATTCCCATTCTCATCTTCTCAACCTCAAACCCTTGACTTTCTATGGGGAGTCATGTTACTCGTTTATTTGTTTATTCAAAAAATATTTTTCAAGCACCTACTATTGCCCTAGGAAGGTGGAATAAATTTGTGAACAACAAGAGAAAGTCACGTCTGCCCTTGTGGAACTTATATTCTAGTGAGGTGACACAGACTACAAACTAAATGCAATGAATTTGGAAGGTGTATACTGTGAGGTAGTAAGTGCTCTGGAGAAAATGAAGAGCAGAACAAGGGCCGTTGTGAATGGGGCAGGAAGGGTTGCAGTGCAAATGGGATGGCCTCAGTAGGGAGCATTTTATCGAAGAATTGAAGAAGATGAGGGAAAGGGCCATGTAAATATCTGAAAGAAGAGCTCCCAAGCAAAGGGATCAGCTAGTACAAAGGTGATGAGGAAGAAACGTGCTTGGCGTGTTCAAAAAGCAGTGAGGGTAGAGTGTGCAAGGGGAGAGCAGATTAGAGATTTAACGGGGTGAGGTGTAGAGAGGCCCAGGTTATGTAAGGTCCTAAGGGACATTGCAAGGACTTGGTTTTTACACGGAGTAAAATGGAGGGGCTATGGAGGATTTTGAGCAGAGGTGTGAATGATCCGACTCACTCATTAAAACTTTCACACTAGCTGCTAGTTGAGACTAGATTGTACCTATGTGAGTAACCACCCCTTGGGAATCGTAATTCTAATCCAACACTCTTGTGGTATTTTTATTTCACTGTGGTCTTCATTAAACATTTTATTGTATGGGCAAGATGAATTTATCTTCTGCGAGGTCAGAAATCCACAGATAAGTGGACGCTTGTGCACAAGATGGAGGAAAGAATGAGAACACTGAATCAATTTGATGACTCCAAACTATTTGTAGCATTGATGTTATCGTGTTGAAGGAGTTTTATTTAGCAGCCAGCCTTAAATTATTATTATTTTTGGAATAATCTTTTCTGTTTTTTTTCTTTTGTAGGTAATTCTTCACACTAATTTTTTTTTATTAAATAATTTATTTTTGTTGTTGTTGTTGAAAACATACGCCAATTCAACAGTTTCTATATGTACAATTCAGTGATGTTTATTACATTATTCAAGTTGTGCAAACATTCTCACCTTCCTTTCCAAATTGTTCCTCCCCTATTAACATAAAATCACTGCCCCCTAAGTGTTTCCTATCTAATCTTCCAAGTTGCTGTTGTCAGTTTGATCCCATACAGATAGTTCTTTAAAACAGCACAATGCTCAAGGCAGACATTCTATACTAGTTAAACAAAACGATTGTTTGGTTTATATATAGCAAATTCACTTAAAGATCAAACAGAACACTTGGTGCGGAGGGCTATCTCAGTGTGTGGTAGCTCAGAACAAGATATGTCACATGTGTTATGTTGCTTCAGTCATTGGCAAGTGAGCTCAAAGTTTTTATGATATCAAGTTCCCCAAGAGGCTGATTCTCAGTAAACTGAGTTTTTAGCTATCATTACTCTCTTACCCTCAGATAAGATTAATTTTAATCTGCAAAATAGCTCCATGTCTTATAAACATTTGTCAAAAATGACAAGTGCTTCCGTAAAACATGCGTGCTATGAAGTAAAGGGGAAAGAATTTAAGCAGAATACTGAAGCAAATTGTATTCAAGAATCCTGTCACACTGATGTTTATCAGTTATTTTAAGGTTTATTAATTATTAGTGTTTTATTATATTATTAATTAATTATCATTAATTATTAATTAATAACATTAAATTTATTCATTTTCTTAACTGCTGCTTCCACGGGCATTGATTGTGGATCAAAGTAAAATGAAATCCTTGACAACTTCAATATTTTCTGTTTGTTATGAAGTTGCTTATTGGTCCAGTTGTGAGGATTTTTGCTTTCTTTTATGTTAAGGTGTAATCCATACTGAAGGCTGTGGTCTTTGATCTTCATCAGTAAGTGCTTCAAGTCCTCTTCACTTTCAGCAAGCAAGGTTGTGTCATCTACATCTTATTCTGATGCTGCTTTCTTCTTCATAAAGTCCAGATTCTCTGATTATTTGTTCAACATACAGATTGAATAAACCAAAAAGAAATTAAAAAACCTCACTGCCATCAAGTTGATTCCGACTCATATATGACAGGGTAGAACTGCCCCATAGGGTTTCCAAGGAGCGTGTGGTGGTGAATTCAAACTGCCGACCTTTTGGTTAGCAGCAGTAGCTCTTAACCACTAAGTATGGTGAAAGGACACAACCTTGACGCACATCTTCCCTGATTTTAAACTGTGCAGTTCTGTGTTCTGTTCAAACGACTGCCTCTTGATCTATGTACAGGTTCCATAGGAGCTCAATTAAGTGTTCTGGAATTCTCATTCTTTGCAATGTTACCCATAATTTGTTATGATCCACACAACCTTTGCATAGTCAATAAAATACATGCAAACATCTTTCTGGCATTCTCTGCTTTCAGCCACAATCAATCTGACATCCCCAATGATACCCCTTGTTCCACTTGCTCTTCTGAATCCAGCTTGAGTTTCTGGCAGTTCCTTGTCAATGTATAGCTGCAACTATTTTCGAATTATCTTCAGCATAATTTTACTTGTGTGTGATAATGTCCACATTCTGTTGGGTCACCTCTCTTTGCAATGGGCACAAATATGGATCTGTTCTAGTCAGTTGGACAAGTAGCTGTCTTCCAAATTTCTTGGCATAGATGAGTGAGTTCTTCCAGAGTTGCACCCCTTTGTTGAAACATCTCAATAGGTAGTCCATCAATTTCTGGAGCCTTATTTTCCATCAATGCCTTCAGTGCAGCTTGGCTTCTTCCTTCAGTACCATTGGTTCTTTATCATATGCTACCTCCCGAAGTGGCTGAACGTCAACCAGTTCTTTTTGTTACAGTGACTCTGTGTATTCCTTCCATCTTCTTTTGATGCTTCCTGTGTCAGTCAATATTTTGTCCTTCAATGTTGCAATTCGAGGCTTGATTTTTTTCGTCAGTTATTTCAGCTTGAGAAATGCTGAGTGTGTTCTTCTGTTTTGGTTTTCTAACTCAAGGTCTTTGCACATTTCATTGTAATACTTTGTCTTCTCAAGCTGCCATTTGAAAACTTCTGTTCAGCTCTTTTACTTCATCATTTCTTCCATTCGCTTTAGCTACTCTATATTCAAGAACAAGTTTCCAAGTCTCTTCTGACATCCATTTTGTTCTTTTCTTTCTTTCCTGTCTTTTTAATGACCTTTTGCTTTTTTCATGTATGATGTTCTTGATGTCATCCTGCAACTCCTCTGGTCTTTGGTCATTAGTGTCCAATGTGTCAGATCTGTTCTTGAAATGGTCTCTAAATTCAGGTGGGATATACTCAAGGTTGTACTTTGGCTCTCGTGAACTTATTTTAATTTTCTTCAGCTTCAACTTGAACTTGCATGTGAATAATTGATGGTCCATTCTGCAACCGGCTCCTGGTCTTATTCTAACTGATGATATTGAGTTTCTCCATTACCTCTTTTCATAGATGTAGTCCATTTGATTCCTGCATGTTCCATTTGGAGAAGTCCATGTGTATAGTTGCCATTTATGTTGTTGAAAAAAGGTATTTGCAATGAAGAAATTGTTGGTCTCCCAAAATTCTGTCATGCCATCTCTGGCATTGGTTCTATCACCAAGACCATATTTTCCAACTACCAATCCTTCCTTTTTGTTTCCAACTTTCACATTCCAATCACCAGTGATTATCAGTGCATCTTGATTGCATGTTTCATCAATTTCAGACTGCAGAATTTGGTAAAAATCTTCAATTTCTTCATCTTTGGCCTTAGTGGTTGGTGTGTGAATTGGAATAATAGTCGTATTAACTGGTCTTCCTTGTAGGCTTATGGATATTATCCTATCTCTGACAGTGTTGTACTTCAGCATAGATCTTGAAATGTTCTTTTTGACAATGAGTGCAATACCATTCCTCTTCAATTTGCAATTCCCAGCATAGTAGACTATATGATTCTCTGATTCAAAAGGCCAGTATCAGTCCATTTCAGCTTACTAGTGCCTAGGCTATCGCTCTTCAAGTGTTCCATTTCATTTTTGACAACTTCCAATTTTTCTAGATTCATATTTCATACATTCCATGTTCTGATTATTAATGGATGTTTACGGCTGTTTCTTCTCATTTTGAGTCATGCCACATCAGCAAATGAAGGTCCCAAAGGCTTTATTCCTTTTACATTATTAAGGTCAACTCCACTTTGTGGAGGCAACTCTTCCCCAGTCGTATTTTGAGTACATTCCAACATGAGGGGCTCATCTTCCGGCACTATATCAGACAATATTCCACTGCTATTCATAAGGTTTTCAGTGGCAAGTTTTTTCAGAAGTAGCTCACCATGTCCTTCTTTTTAGTCTGTCTTAGTCTGGAAGCTCCACTGAAGCCTGTCCACCACAGGTGAACCTGCTGACATTTGAAATACCAGTGGCATAGCTTCCACCATTACAGCAACACACAAGCCACCACAGTACAACAAACTGATAGACAAGTTGTGGCAAAAATCCTTATTAGTGAAATATTAATTTTCATCTATTCTAACATGCAAATATTTTTACACATGTTAACATCCTTGAAATATCTGGAATGAGTTTCTAGGTCAATGACAAGAAAACATTTGTCATAGCTAATTATGTTTAGTTGTATGTAAAATAATAATATGCTTTTCAATCAATGAGATATGGTAAACATGTTTGATTTATAGCACTTATATCACAAACAAGACTATCATAAATGGAATACTTCTATCTATCATATAGCTATGCTAACAATGAAATCTAAAAATAACTTAATCAGTCAAGACAAAAAACTCAATCTCTGTGAAAATTCTAAATATCTCCATGGATGGCTAACCAGCTCTGCCTGATCTTAGTGTCAGGGCTCTAGACATGCCGCTTCATTTTCTTGAAGTCTTTTGCACTCAACCTTCAGAGTGTTATATACCTGAGCTTCTCTATCAAATGAAATAGCTTAATGGCAAGTGACAGGAGCTACTGCTACCATTCTTGTGAAGCCTGGTGATGGATTCAGAAGCTAACTCTGGCGTTAACCTGACCTTGGTTCATCCCCTCCCTAGACTAACTGCTACAGAGTTGGTGATTTTCCTCAAAAAGACCTTCCGTGTTTAACCATCTCTCCAAAGTGCTTGGTGCAGGAACATGGTAGTCACTCAAAAGATGCCATCTGCCAACCTTTTCCTCTGCTTTTGAATATTTTGTACTTACTTAACTTTATAGTGTTTTAATGCACATACGTATGCCTCTTTTATGTAATTTCTATCTTTCTTAGATTAGTACAGAGGATAATGACTATGTCTCTTCAATTTCCTTTTGCCATGTGCTAATAGTCCCTTGATGAATATTTCATAGCGATGATAGAATTATTATATGCTATAAGTAGTCCAGGTGAAAAGACAAATCCTGTCATTTTCCCAAGCAAATTTTGCCTTAGGAAAATTTCCACTATTTATATTAAATTATTGTTAATATAATTCAGAGATAAAAAAAATCTTAATGGAAAACCACTTCTTCTATGGGGATGTTAAGCCATTTATCATCTGTGTATTTGCAGAAGAGCATGTTCATGGTGCAAAGCATTGAACGTGATTTTTATAATACAATTTCTGTCTTGGTTCCTAGTTTCTCAATTTATGATGGTTTTTGAAATTTTTTTTCATTGAAAATGTCAAAAAAGGTAATATACATGCCATTTTTCAATTAATTTTGTCTAATACAAATATTTATTGGGTGGTGAGATAATGTTTTGCCAACTATAAATGTTTAGGAACTTACTAAAAAGTATGTATCATACTGTCTTATGTATAAACTCAAGAAAGTAGTCAGAAAAATTTATTTGCTTAGAAAAAAAAATTATATATTTCAAGTGCCATGGAATAGTTACAAAACTTAACTATATATCACAAAGGCAAATGTGAAAATTTCTGTGTGCAGAAATTATGTAGACCACATTCTCTTAAATTTTGCAATGTAACTAGAAATTAATAGCAAAAACAAAATATTCAAACTCATTTTCAAAAATTACTCTTTTGAGCACATCATTAGTTGAACAATAAATCAATATAAAAATCGAAGAATATCAAGAAAATAAGGATAATGAAACACTATACATCAAAATATTTCAAACTGAGAATAAAATTTCTCTAACATAAAAATGTTTCAACATTTAAAAATTTTAAATTCATAGGATTTAGGTAACTAGTGTGCAGAGTATATTTCTTTTTTTGTTTTTAATTAAATATTAGTTTATCATTTTGACAAAATTTCACAACTTAATTTCTGAATGACATAACTTATTGAGTAGATATATAATTCATCTTAAACTTAGTAATACACACATTTAAAAAAGATTAAACAGCATGAAGGTGCAAAGTTATGCTCTATCAATATCCTAAATGATAATTGATACTATCAATATTTACACTTAGATGACATGTTATATATAATCCTTAATAGCATTAATGGAACATATTTGTTCTTCTGGCTTCAGAATTACATGTTCAGAGAATTGTAGTATTTCTTTAGATATATATTTTAATATAAAATACTTAATTTTTGTCATTGTATCAAAAACAGATTCTAAGATGACTTAAAACATATTAATGAAAACAATGTGGTTTGTGGCTTCAAGCAGAATAGCACCATGTGGAAAAATAGACTCCTGACAAATACCATATACTCAAAGAAGTTTCATGCATGTTTGATGATGACCTAGTCAAGAAAGGATAAAAAATAATTTTGGATGATAAACATTAGGTTAGAAGATTAATATACTTGATTCTATTGAAAAGCATATCTTCTTTGAAATTTCAGAAATGAAATTATACCTTATCTATAATTTTATGCAAAGCTATTATAGCAGTAATGAAATATGTACTCAGAAAAGTTATGAATCCATGTGATTCCAATGGATTCTCTTGGCCAGTAAATAAACTTGTGTGTTTTGCTATAAATTAACTTTTACTGCCAGAGAAACTCATTTATTCTGCTTAGAATTGTTGAAGAAGAGTACAATACTTCCTACTCTGCAGGAAACTGGCTGGAAAGGTCAAGTACCTTATCTGAAATCCCCTGGTGTCAGACAATGGCTAAACGTAGCCAGAGAACAACATTCTCTTTCCAAAAAAAAAAAATTGCTGAGAAGTCTCCCCAGTATTTCATATAGCAAATCATTACCCATTAAAAGGCAATTAGTAAGAAAGAAAAATTTATACAGGGGATTCTATACTTAGCATCTGTCTTTCATCACAAAAGGAAAATAATTCACAAGGTTCCTTTATCTTTCCTTCCACACTCCTTACTGAGGTGTTTAAATGAACAAACTTAGTTTTTAACTATGTACTAGGATCCAGGAGACATTTTGTTTTATATCAGTCTTTCATTAGGGGAGGCAGCACCACACATTAATGTGAAATTATACTATTCAGAGGTTAATTTATCTTCTTGACTGTTTTTTCAGGCGACGCTATAGAACATTTAAGTCAAAATGTTGGCAGCATGTGACTAGAAAATGCCATGAAGATGAGACCTGCATCAGCACCTTAAGCAAGCAAGACCTCATTTGCTCAGGAAACAATGACTGCAAAGCAGCTTACATTGGTACCTTTGGGACGGTTCTTCAAGTACAGTGCACCTGTAGGTCCATTACACAAAGTGAAGAATCTTTGTGCAAGATTTTCCAGCACATGCTTCATGGAAGATCGTGTTTCAGTAAGTTCTCCAAATAAAATTGCCTTAACACATATAAATTCTTCTCATTTTTGTCTATACAGCACGAAATTGTAATCCAATACAGAAAATTTGTTCACAAAGACAATTTTGTGCTTACTATTCCATTTTAAATTTTATTTAATAATTGTGGTTTGTGCATTTGCTATTTTACTAACTTGTCAGAAAGTGGTACATGTTTTTCATTTGTGTAATAGGTCACCCCTAGTTACCACATATTGATTTCAACATCAGTAGAACAAAATGTTTATCCTATCAGATAACTGGCTGTATCAGTTATTTATTGCTGCGTAACAAATCACATCAAAACTTAGTGGCTTGAAAAAAAAACTACTTGCTAGCAATTCTGCACATTGTGCTTGGCTTAGCTGAGTAGTTTTTCTGATGGTCTTTTCTGGGGTCACTCATGTAGCTACAGTCATCAAGTGGCTCAACCAAGGCTGGATGGTACAAGAGAGAATCTACGAGCACTGTTGGCTCAGCTATCTTGGCTTTCCTCTACAGGATCTCTTCAGCAGTATAGCCTAGGTCTCTTACATAGTAGTAGCACATTCTGAGTGGCTCAATCTCAACGTGCAAACACTTACCTAGCATCTGTTTCTGTCACATTTGCTAATGTCCCATTAGACAAAGTAAGTCACATGGCCAACTCCAGAGTCACTGTGGGAAGGGACTACACAAGGATGTGAATATCCAAGGTGGAATTCATCGAGGATCATTAATGTAACAATTCCCATATGGTGGTTCAACTTTTGTAAAATATATTTACCCCGGGATTTAGTTATTTCTCCCATTGGTCTTTAACATGTCTGCTCATCTACCTATGATGGTGAGATGGAAAGCACATCTCTGGAAGGTATTATTTACTCTATTTAAGTGATAAGGAAACTGGGATTTGGGAATTCAATTCATTTACTCAGAGTCACATAGCAAGAATTGAGTGAGAATTTGTCTATGAGTCTTATACAAAGAATCTAAGTGAACAATCATGTACTAAGACCTCCACATTATCCATCTTCAGGGTCTGTCCATGCAATCACCTGTGCCCAAAGACACCCCAGGCCCCCAGGCCTCTAATGGTAAACCTCTAACCTACAGGCACCATTCCCAGGAGGAAATAATGGCCCTACTGTTTCACTGCAAATGCAATCTTTATGTTTATGGAAAATGTTCTACAGTTATATGGTTATACTTTTCTTTACAGACACATAGGAGAGACACATTAGCCAGTGTGATCAAAATTGTGATTTTTTGGTGTATGTTAGGTAATACGCGTACAACTTGGAGTGTATGGTTTTGATTATACCAGCGCTGTCTATGGAACTATTTCTATAATTTCTATAATTAGCACTACAAACATATTTCACTTGAAATCATGATACAAAGAGAAGAATTTTAACGTTATACATGTTGAGTGTTATTTTCTAAACAATCTTCCTCTCTGATTGACGTTAAGTGGTTAGTTATGCTGAAACTAGAAGTACTAATAATGAATGACATATTACATTACAGCAGGAAATACCAAATGACAAAATAACCAACAGCACTATATACTGTTACTTAACAATGATTAGTTACAAGTGGATTGTAGTTATAGTAAATGGCATGCCAAAAAAAAAAAAAGTATATCCTACTGATTACTGATAGCTCAGTTTCCTGAACATCCTAATTCCTGTCCCAAGCCTGGTTTTCTCCCATGTACTCTAATTATTGTTGCATTTCATCATTACTGTGTTTGGCCACGATGACTTGTACTGAGCAAAAAAAATCCATGGAGAGACAGTAGACGTGAACACTAAAAAAATCCATAGGTATTGAAGTACTACATGAATATTGTAGAAAAATGAAAGTTTAAATAATTTCACTTTTCTGCATGCATATAGTGAGACTAAGCTTTATGAGGTTTTCTCCTTGATCATTACCTACTAAAATTAGGAATTTCAAGTGACAGGATTATAGAATTAAAGGCACCTCAAAGGCCTTCAGTCACAGTTCTAAGTATTTGAACTAATAGGAAATGTTTCAAACAAAAACAAAAAACAAATCTTTAGGCCTGGCTAATTCTAACCAGCCCTCACCCCCTCCCCCAATTATATGGAAGAAGCACAAGGACATATTCTGAATGAAGAATGTCTCTAACCATTGTCCCCTGACTTCTACCGTCAGTCCAGCACTTACATTTTTGATGCATGCTTCCAAAACCCTTTAGCTTCTGCTTACTTTATTCGAAAGGAGCAGAAATGAGTAGAACTGAGAGAACAGTTAAGGAGGTTTTTTTCAGTTTGTCGTGTTTCCTCAGCTTAGAAGCATTGTTTTTCACACTCATTTGATCTCAGGCTACATTAGTCAATACATTTTACATTAACATTTATGTGCGGTGTTGGTGGTGGTGGTGGTGGTGGTTGCCATCGAGTCAATTCTGACTCATAGCAACTCCACCTGTGCAGAGTAGAACTGTTCCATAGGGTTTTCAAGGCTATACGGAAGCAGATCAGTAGGCCTGTCTTCCAAGGTGCCTCTGGGTAGGTTCGAATAGCCAGCCTTTCAGCTAGTATTGGAATGCTTAACCATTTGTGCCACCCAGGACTCTTACGTGCAATATAATCTTTTATTATTATTATTCCATGTATTAATTTTATTCAATGCTGAATACCACCCACTGTTAGATATCATGACTCACTAATGGGTTTCTTTCTGAAGTTTCGAAAACACTTGCTTCTAGCATAAATTCTTCTAGAAATAATCTTGGATACATTGATGGAGCCAAATCAGAGCCTTACAGCAACTATAAATATAGAGTATTTTCTTGTCAAGGGTATAACATTTTCTCATTTAGTCTTAACATCTGCAAGAGCTAGATACTATTATTTTCTCAGTTTTACATATGATGAAAAGGAAGCTAAGAGATTAAATGAATTCCCAGGGTCCTATCCAAGGACAAGGTAGTCACCATTCAAACCGCGGCTCGCTGGCCTCAGAGTCCACTAGGTTCGCCTGCTCGTGAAACGGTAAAGAACACAAGCTCGTGTCTGTCCAGTATGCTTCAAAGCCCTTCCAATCGGAAACTCTTAGTTCTGGTCTCAGAACTGAGCTGTGAAGCGTGCTGAAGAGTCCTGTCTCCTCAGTTCCTTCAGGCAGGGCCAGAATTACTCAAAAGAGTATCTTGAATAAACTGTGTGTTCTGCCACCAGCCGCCACTTAACTGGTAACCTCTGTACTCATAACAGTCCGACTTTTCTCTGATATAGTGTCGGGCAGAGCAAACTTGTGGCAGTTACAGCTGATACAGAGATGAGAGCAATGGAAGAAAGAGAAACTGGGTAAGAGAAAGAAGATCATAGAAACAGAAAGAATTAAGGATACATTAATGTGTTTCCCTCCTGACACAGAAGGATTCAGTCCACAGAGGGGGGGTCCACCTCCAGCGGACAAGAGTGTTCTATTTTTATCTTCGTCATAGCTATAGTCAGCTGGTGTAAATTCTTTTGACTTTTTCCCTTACCTGCAATGCATATATACCTTGAATACCTTATATACACACAAATAAATGCCATATACACACAGATCTCACCTTGCCACACACCCACACACACACACATTTTTAAAATAGAATCACACTATATATATTGCTTTACAGTTTGCTTGTTACCTTAAACGTAAATGGTGGACCGATTTTAAAGTGTGTCTATATATATGATGGCTTCTTTCTTTTTTAAAGTTTGCATAGTATCCTGCAGTATAGATATACCATAATTCATTTAACTATTCTTTTACTACTGTGGATATTGAGTGCAACTGTTTATTATTACAGATATTGCTGCAATAAATGTTTTTACACATTTTTGCTGGCATTTCTACAGAATAGCTTTTGAAGAGTGGGGTTACTCGAGCATAGGAATTTTACATTTAAAAAAACTGGTAAAAGATGTCGATTCTAAAGTACATTCTCAACGAAAAAAATCTCACTGTTTCAATTAGAATTTTTATTTTAAATGCCTCTAAGCATCTTTTCAAGGAGCCCTGGTGGCACAATAGCTAAGCGCTTGGCTGCTAACCAAAAGGTCTCCGGTTCAAACTCACCAGCTGCTCCAAGGGAGGAAAGGCCTGGCAATCTGCTCACGTAGAGATTACAGCCTAGGAAACCCTATGGGGGCAGTTCTACTTTGTCATGAGGTTGCTGTGTGTTGGAATCGACTTCATGGCACACAACAACAACAGCAAGCATCTTTTCAGTGACTTGTTAGAAATATTACATTTCTTCTAACCTATTAATACCCCTTCTCGAAAACATTCTGCTTCTTTTATTGTCAGTAAATGGCACTTTCGTTGCCCAAAGTAGACATTTACATGGATTTATGAGGATTCACAAACCTTATACCTTTTCCAATGATCCTGAATTCATGGTCTCTTGTGGCAAAGCGGTAACCTGGAGAGAGCACACACTTTGGCATATCACAGTCTTGGGCTGAGATCCTGACTCTACCATGTATTATCTGGGTTATGTAAGGGGAAACAATTTAACTCTTTCTTGAATATTCAACCATTGTTTCTTGGCATGGATCATTTCCACTGCCTTTTTAAAAATTTGTTTTTGTTAAATGATGAATAAATTAGCAAAGAAAATTTAAAATATAAATAAAAGTATAAAGACTAATTTAGCTAAAGAAGATCATCGCCATTGTCATCATTCCCAACTGCCCCTCTTTATCACATCATGTTCTCCCTCAACTCAGAAGTAACCATCTCCTGAATTTTGTGTTCATTAATCCTTTGCTTTCTTTTTATTTTTACAGTATATGTTTTTAACTCTATTCACTGTATTGTTTAATTTTCCATCTTTTTGAAAATTCTATAATATTGTTGTTGTATGCCGTGGGCTCTATTCCGATTCATAGCAACCTTATAGGACAGAATAGAACTGCCCCATAGGGTTTCCTAGGCTGTAGTCTTTATAAGAGCAGACTGCCAGGTCTTTTCTCCCA